TGAGAGCTTTGAGTAAATAGTTTGGGTATTATTTTGATTTGACATGTTTTCTTTGTGGGAGACGGTTCTTCGAGGACCTTATTATTCCATTCCCAATGTCGTAAGGAGATCGTTTAACCTCATTGAATGAAAGTAGAAGTTTCACCGACAGCGCCATCAATTTTACATACAATAACAAGTTTTAGAAAGGACGAATTTTAATAGAGTCCCAGGCATACTGTTAGTTTTGAATGGTCATTGTCCAGCGGTTCTAATGTGGCACAGGTGCACTTGTTTACTGACCACGAACGAAATAAATTAACAGTGACCGAGAAATGTCCAGTCGTAAACATTATGACAAAGTAGAAATAAAAATAATTAATAAAATTAATTGGTGTATTTACCATGAATGCAGAAGAAATACAGTAAATAGCATGGCAACTTAAAAGAAACACGAATAAGTCTTTGAAATTTGCCCTACATTAATGTGACCCTGCTTGGTATATTCATTCTAAAACATCAACAATGAGAGAAAAAATCTATTTTTAATAGCTCGAACTCTTAGCTGTACTTAAAGAAACAAAGATCAAGTACAGGTTTGAATAGAATATAACGAGAATTCGCTATCGCTGGAGACATTGTTTCTCAATTAATTTTCGTTTTTCATCTTACGTGGAATAAAGAAAAGGCTCTAATAAACGACATATTAGTTGTCAGTTCCGATTTAATATCCAATCTTTCAGTGTAAACCACCTCTCTATTGCACGGGGGGCTTAGTGGGGGACTTGAAATACCCCCAAAGGAAGCACACATTGCATAATATCTTAATCTGTTAAATCCTTTCAACACAAATTAAAAACTGTCCGCCCAGAAGTTAAATCCAATAAAAAAACATAGGTTGACTTTTTTAACAATGTTTTTAACCCTGTATACATTTTATATTTTAGTCATGCATTTTTCAGTGTCTAGGTGACCTGACTGTTTTAATATATTCCTTCGTCACAAGATGAAGCTAAAAACATCTTTGACGGGATATTTCAAAATAATACTCTCACAGGCACTTGTGGACAGCCCCCCCCCCTCCTTCCCCCACCCCAGATCAAAAGAAATTTGTTTATGTCTTCTTTTTATTATCAATTATTCTTCTAGTACAATGTATTTCGTATATGAAAAATCCAAAATAAAAAAAACAACACGTAGAATATTTTTTTTTAATCATACCGGCGGTATTTTAAAAATACAAACATTTGTAAAAAGCATGATAAAATCATTTTTCGAACAAAAGATAATTAATACTGATTACTTCACTGTATAGGCATATAACTTATTATTATACTAAAGCGGTGCTCAACAGAACAATGTGAATAAGGAAATGTCCAACAAAGTCCTGTATATTTATGTACATTTTTTCTGACGTTTTTATATAGGGAATATTGATTTGATATTCTTTAAAATAAATTCCATCACAGTTTGGTACATAATCGTAAAAAAAGATAGTGATTATCTTTTAGATAAGAAATTTTTCAGGATGTGTGTGAGAAATTCTGAAATAAAAATCAAACATGGATGCTCCATCATATGACTAGATATTATCAATCATTTAAACACAAAGGGCACGGCTTCTGTGTTAAAAAATAAAACAAGCTGAAAAGGGGGACTTCTAGGAATTTTCCCACGCAATACTTTATATGAAATAGAAAAGTGAGTGAATTCAGAATTTTCACAATTTTTCTCCTCGTAATTATGAAGGTAGGTTCGTTGTTGGAAGTTCCATGATCATATTTCATTCAGATAATTCATATTTTCTTGCACTTATGCAAGTCAATAGACGATAACAAAGAAAAACGAATTATTTATCAAAAGTTCATTGTTTACTGACTTGACTGGAGGCTTTATTATATTAAAAAAATATTGAGTTTTAAGACAAGGAAGCAGGAGTAATCGGGTGGGATGGGTGTTTGGATTGATGATCAATTGATTAAATTTTATTATAAGTAGCAAAAAGTTTTGATACGCATACTTGAATTTTCAGGATATCCGCTTATAGCTATGACCCAGTTTGCAATTGGTCGATCATAGTGAATTCCCCTGTTTGGTTTAGCTATGTATGCTACCCGATGTCCCACGCATACTTATGGTTCAATTTTTGGCAACAAACCCTTACAAAAAGTAACAGTCTATATTTGTTAGTCAGTTGTTGTTGTTGAAAAACACGAAACGAGCAGTCCATCTGGAATTTCAATCGTACAAAAAAATCTGCCTGTCATCAATTTAGAAGCTTGAACAAATTACATGTGTATTAGCTATCTGATTATTTTTTGTAAAATAATTTTAAAATTTTTATTCTTATCCGATCATTTATCTATATATTAAGTTTATTTTACGGATTATATACGTTAAGGACAATCTTTGAATATCTGTGTAAATATTTCCCACCCGTACTATAGGCAACATTAAGGATACTAATATTATTACCTGTTAACGGATACTTTATGATGTTCCAGTTCAGTTGGCCGAAATCTAGGTCTCATACTTCCCGTTCTTGGGTGTTTTATTCCTGTAATGATATACTAATGTCAAACACTGGTTGTAAAGAATTGCTATTTTTGATAATAGCTTTCGGGACACAAAATTGCCTGAGGTGACTTCAAAATAGGTTTCCAATGTTATAAGATGACGAAACAGTGCATTGTTTACGCTTGATTGAGGAAGAGCTCTGTCCTTTTGAAATTGTCATTCAAGTACAAAACCAGTGCCTTGGTACCTGTTGGTTTTTTGTGGCTTTCAACACGTGCAAACATTTCTATATGTAATATTCCCATACATTTAATGCTTTAAAATTTACAAACACTTTGAATATTTAAAAACTATTCAAAGTAGACATATCAAGAAATAAATAATATCAATGACATCAGCATGTCTAAATATTTCCTCTATATGTGTAGGGTCGCCCGCGTGGCGCAGTGGGTTAGAACGCCTGCCTTAAAGTCGCGAGGTAAGGAGTTGATCCTTACGTCACAGGATCGAATCCCACTGTGGAACGTGGAGACCGGTCCTTCGGATGAGACCGTATAACCGAGGTCCTGTGTCGCAGTAGGTGCTGGCACGAAGAAGATGCCTCATTGCTCATTGGTCCATAGTGCCGAGTATAGGACAAAATTTGCAGCTCTCCACTGGTGACGTCTCCATATGAGGGAAAACTTCTCGAGAGGGACGTTAAACAATATACAATCAACCAATCAATTTATATATGTTGGGTCTCCCGTGTGGCGCAGTGGTAAAAGCGTCTGCTCTAGAGTCGCGTAGAAAGGAATTTTAAATTCTCATGTCACGGGTTCGAATTCCATTGTGGGGCGTGGAGGTCCAGTGTTGGTACTGTCACGAAAAAGATCCCTTACCACTTAATGGCCGTAAGTTCCGAGTATACAATCTGTAGCTTCCCAGCGGCAAATGGCTGCGTCTCATATGAATGAAAAATTTTCGACAGGGACGTCAAACAACATACAATCAATCTGTATGCATGTATGCTGGTAAACCTTTCCCGAGTACCATAAGATTTGGTTCCTATCGAAGCGAAAGACAAAATCGAATGGCAAGGGAAAAGTTTTACAACATATTTAGTACATGTTTCACACAAGAAATAAAACTCTTTGTGTCTTATATATTTTTCATTACAAATCTTTGAGTGTGTTTTGTTAATAAAATCAAGACAATTGGGATTTACGCCTGACTGGTCCCATTTTGCAAAGAACCAGCAGACGCACTGATTATACCCTCAGGGGTATACATGGATTTACCAGTCTGCACCAGGTCAGGTGACGGTCTACAGTGGGTGGCTTTCAAACACAATTAGGTTCATATATTTCTGCATGCGTTAATATCCTTTACATATTGTGTAGTTTTTTTAATTGTTTGGTACATCGGGTTTAACCTGCCTTAAGTCACGTTCGTCCTCTCCCATTCTTTTTTTTACATCCAATAACTTTATTTATTCCCCGAAGATTCTTATGTTTGGTTCATTTCTATATCATCACACCCCATCTTCTTGCTTACAATTATATACAATGCTTGTTTACCTAGAGGGAACATTACCATCAATTTAATGCAAAATCTCCAGTCTTTTTAACCAATCTCTGAAATTTGAAAAGAAAATATTATCATAAAAATCTACAAGATATTACATATACATGAAAAAATGACGCAGTAAAATCCAATTCGATTCCTGATTATATCTGCGGCCGATCTTTCCAACATCATCTATTCTCAAGGAATAAAAGGAATGCCATATAACACGAGCCCATTAAATCAACATCTTGGACCCATTTTGATTTTCTTTAGCACTGAAATAAAGTCAGTTTTAATTTTTTTTTTTTTATTTTAGCCTCATTAAAAATAGTTTTAAAATAGTTTAATAAGCATTTAGCATTTTTTTTTGGAGGTATTTCAAATTTTGTGGTTTGATAAGACCGCTTTTATCCAACGAGATGCAAATTGTGTGTTTTAATACATCCCTGAGCCTTGGCCATTCAGTTTTAAAAGAATTGATCTCATTTTAAAAGCAAATAAACATAAAGTAAGTTTTTTATCACATATTTTTGTTCACTTAAATGTGTATTTTGTTTTTATTTCTAATTCAAAGTCCTTTCGGTTACCGCGCGGACCAAATAACGTAATAAATAATATTACGTTGTATGAAATAGTTCGTACAAAAATAAAAGAAAGAAATTATTTCAGCACTTATTTTTTTTAATTCATGAATATAAATTTGTCAAAATATATCAAATAAAGTGAAATTTGACAAATTTAGTCATTTTCTCCATCATACACATGTATTTGTTTATTTACATTAAGTCACGCGGCGTAGGAATACATAGTGTTGATATGAAAACGATATCACATGAGCTATATCAACGGGATAAAGGAGAAAATATGTGATAAAATAGCTTTTGGAGTTATTTTAAATTTTGTAACCGTAAGAAAAAAAAGTTCTGTTTAATAAGAGGACGTATTTTTATTGGTAGCCTGATAAAATGACGGAAAATAATAACACTAAGGACCCGGATACAGGATTAACGGAAGCGGAAGTGTGTGCTGTTGAGGACAGTTGGAGCATGCTCTACCGGAAAGAACACAGGAAAGAAAATGGCGTCAAACTTTTCGTTTCGTACGTCTTTATATTCAAAATGAATTTCGAAAAAAAAAATTACAAGAAAGATATACATTTTTATTTGAGACGACGAATATTGTCAAAATGTATTTCGGGGGAAAAAATTTATAAATATTTTTATTTGAGACGAAAAATATTGGCGGAAAAATATTTGAATTCATAAGATTAAAGATCGAAATTAAATTTATTGATCAATCTTAATTGCAAATAATCTTACAGCTCCATGCTTATTTTATCTTGGGGCAGGTGTATCAAATTTGGCATTTTTGATTTTTTTTTTTTACTGCTAGGTTGTTCACATTATATCCATCAGCATTGGAGATGTTTCCACAGTTCAGGGGCAGTTCTCTGGAGAAAATAGCTCAACACCCCAAACTCCCGGCACATGGCATGTCCGTTATGTATGCCTTGGCCTCGTATGTCGACAACCTGCACGACTCTGAACTTCTGGTAGAACTGGTGAAGAAGACGGCGGTCAGCCACATTGGCCGAGGGGTGGGATCCAGGGAATTTAAAGTAACTACATACATGATTATGCTTATACTGTAATATATGCACTCAATGATTTTCTCATGGGCTTCTTAAAATTTTAAGTAACTATATACAATTTCAAATATACTACTTAGTTGTTTACTCTTTGATATTTCTCATAAATATTTTAATTGATAGGTTTAAGATTGTATTGAGGTCCTCAATGTTTAAGTTATTCTCAATTATTTTTATTAGATATGTTAATACTCTCTAAAAATGGGGAAAACTATATAAAATACATGTTTCCTTTTCAGTGGTTAAAGGAGGTAGTACCGTCTTGGCTGGAGACAGTTTTAGAAGATGAGTGCACACCCCTCATGAAAACGTCCTGGGTCAAGCTTCTAAATATCGTAGTAGCAGTTGTTAGCGGCGAGGAGCAGAATATGAAATCGTAATAAGCCATTATAAGGTGTGCTATTACTTAAAAGGGTACCAATGTGAGGAATAAGATGGCTATTTATAGTACAGGGATATCAGGGATCCTGAGCCTCAGCAAATGTAAAAACTTGTCACGTGTTCGAATAGATTTGCTAGGAGATAAGTGTTTTATTAATAGCATGTTTGGAAAGAAACGCCAAGAGTCCCATAAAGTGTTCATCTTTAATTAAGTTATCATACATGTTTATCATAAAGGTTCTTTTTTCATGTAATGTGTTTCTTGATAGGCTAGTTTAAACCAAAAATTGTCTGTGCATCAGCTTAAATGTAATATATATTTATAAAAAATTAGAAATATGAAAAAGAGAAAATGATATAAAGTAAATGTAATCACTTGAAAACAATAGCGATGTGTTAATCCGAAAAAAAAAATATCAAACAAATATCAATTGTGGGTAGTTAATATACATGTATTACAGTTAAGGTGTTTTCATTATTACAGTAGCTAGGCTGCCTTAAATGAAATACATGTATTTAAAATATATATTTTCTGTATTTTGTATGTACCAAAATATACATGTACAATTTAAATAGATTTTAGATTTTTTGTACATTGTTAATACGTGTATTTTATGCTTTCATGAATGCAATATATCAGCAAATCCAGTACATTATACACTGTAAATAAAACCAGTTAATGCCAAAAATAATGATTTCACTAAGATTTTTCATAAGCATTTTCTGTGGATGATTGTTATTTATTTCTTCCGTTTGACATCTTGTACAAGTGTAAATATATCCATTGTGGTTGTACTTTTATTGTTTGTATTTGTTGATGGATACGCGATTTCAGGGAATCCATTAAATTCATAATAAAACCTATATCAATCACAACTGACTTCGGAATAATAAGCATTGTTTCCAGCGACAAATGTATTTACGTGATATCAAGACAATAACTGTTCGCATTGAACCCTGAAACCACTGTTTATTTTTTTGGGAAGTATATTACATTGTTTTATTGACCTCTAACAAAATAAAGAGGAGGTCTTCTCAAATTTTTACGATTAAATAACATACTTGAAGTTTCTTCAAGAAGCACTTGTTAGGGTCAGGTGTCACACTATCAGTTAGAAGATGGATGCATCGATCGAACCATCTAGATCTGCATTTGCTATAACACATATACAGATAAGTTGTTAAAATACAATGACTGCAACTGTTAAAGAATATGCGTGTACTTAATGAACTAATAATTAGAATTAAAAACGTCAGTCAGAATTTGACCCCATGATACATTATATTTGCTGACAAAGGCCATTATATCGACCATTTGTGAAAAGATGACTTTACCGAGACTGTTGATATTCTTGTTCATCAACTTGTTCGTCAATAACTTACCTCGTTTTAGAAATTGTTCATACGCATAGCATGTTCTTGCTTATCGCCTCATTTGAGAGATATAAACCCCGTATGCAGTTGAAAAGGTTATATTGCTGCATTAGTAGAAGGGGAAGTTGAAATCTGTCATCACGTTTATTATTTAGATTACTGTTCATATTTTACCTAACAAAATATCCGAATATAATTCTTTTTAAATGGCATGCTAATTTAAATTTGGTCATGTATGCTAATTTCAAAAGTCCTAGGAATACAATGACTGAATGCGACATGTGTTGATAAACGAGCCAAAGATAACGTGGTTCTATGTAAGCTCTTTTTCTTATTTTGATTAAACCCCTTTGAGAAGAAAAAGCAAACCACATGCTATTTCTTTGATACCTCGGTCAATATTTTACCCTTGACATCTGCAATGTTATAGGTTTTCAATTTCAATGGCTTGGGTTCATTTAATCTGACATGACTAAGGTCATTGATAAACCTAGACTCATTCAGAAATCGGTGGAGATAAACAGGTACTTGGGATTAACTTTGATGTATACGGGATTCAGTAATACCCCCAACTAGTTCTACAACTCGGTCATTTGACTTTGACAAGGTAGAAAGAGAAATCAATTTAACGGGAATCGATGTTACAGGTGTACACGTTACGGAGAAAAATGAAAGAAACCAACATGCAGACGTAGTTTTACAGAGTATTTGTTGAATAAAACGAAAAAAAAAATATCCCGGATACCCAGTTATTTTTTCTTATCAGAAGACAAGCCATTAAAGAACATCTTAAATAATGTGTAATGTGATAAACATAACTGCGCCATCCATGGTATCTAACGTTAAATGTTCTGTATTTTTTAATGCACATAACCCTTTCTGTGTATTTTTTGCAGTTTACACATATTTTTGTTTTAAGAAATATAAAATAACACATAATTTATTTAATAATATTTATATTTTTAATAGATATAAATAACACATAATTCATTTAATAATAATTATGTTAACCTAGCAGAAACATTTAATACAAAACACAAATGTGTCAATGAAACAACTTTTTTACAAGCTTCAGTGTAAGTATTAATATTCCCGCCGTTTTTGTTGATTGTCGTCTGGTCGTTCTTACTAATTATTTCTTGCTGAATAATAATAAGTCTTATGACTGATTGATTTGTTTTAGTCTTATGAAAGTACCATCTGTGTCAATGAATCGACGATTCCTATAGTTTCCGTTTTCTGATAGGGTGAATTTTTATAAACCGATTAATTTCTTTTTCAGTGTAAATATATAGAGTGATGATATTTTTTTCAGTTTAAGATAGGATTCTTCTCTGGTTTCTGACTAGATGAAATATTCAAAGTATATTTGCTTATATGCCTTATATATTTAGGTGTTAGAGATTTAAAAGACTATATTTTTCTTTCCTCGTCACGATTGTACAACTTTAAATAGAAATGGTAAACTGCGTTTGAAAACGAGCAGGGACTATATTTTTAGCGGAATGGTGGAGTAGGAAAATATCTTCTTTTCTGCCTCTCAAAATTATTATAGAACATTGTATTAAGTTATTATTTTTACACAATCAGAGACTTGAAAAAAATTTCAAATGTAAGTAAAATTAATACTAAGGGACTAAAGTTTAAAATATATCACATAAATATGATTTATCAAACAAACTAGAACTATGTAAGCTTTTAAAAGCTTAAATCTAAGTACGGATTTGAGCCAAAAATCCGTAAAAAGTGTTTTTTTCTCTTTTAGTAAACGATCAAAACTTTTTGTTTTTGTATCATTTTGTATCTTTATATGACAACTTTACCATATGTGAAAATAAGAAAAAATTAAATATAGGAAGCATATAAAAATAACTAATATATCCTAAAAAATTAAGAAAAGTAGAGAAAATTCAGTCTGGCCAATATCCATTTTAGTTTAATTATTTATGTCAATTTAGTAATATTATCTTATAGGCCCTATATGGTAGTATTTTTTTATGCAAAAAGAAAAACATCTTATCTTTTGAAATACAAGTAGGGATTGCATGATTTGCAACAGTATTTTTTATTCGTAATATTCAAGGGAAAAGTTATGACCTTGACCTGACCTTGCCTCTAATATAAAGGGGTCAAAGTTATTCTTACTTATACCATCACTTAGTAAAATTGTTTTCTTGATTCTGTGAAAATATTTTTACTTTTTAAATAAAGTCTTCAACATGGCGACTCTTCATGTTGCAGATTTTGATAAATATGTACATAGTTTAACAGGAACTTAGAACTATATAACTTCGATGTATACCGGCCAAGGCAATACCCCCAAGCAGTTCTACAACATGACTCGTCAACTCTTTTAGGGCAGAAAAAATAGATTTTATGGGAATCAATTTTACAGGTGTACAGGCATGAAGCCATAGACTGCAGATCCATCCATTTTTGGTTTAAATAGAAAATAATAGATGCTAGATAATTTCTTATTTATCAGAAGACATAAATGTTTTTATGAGTGATGCGATAAACATGCTTTGCAGCCAAGGTAGCTAACATTTAATCTCAATTTTCTGCAATGCATCGAACCCCTTTCTTTATATTCTATAGCTGATATACAAAGAAAAAAATAGTTCAAACAGATATTGATGCACATATGGGTATACATGTGTACCCATGTACACATCGACAACGTGTATCGATCTTAAACTCGTTAATGTTTACGACTGGAATTCGATGTTAAAATTATAGATTTTTTAATAACATAATGAAATGACAAATATAGGATCTCACATGATATGTAGTTAGATATGATTTTTATCCAACAAGTTGTGTGGATTTTATCCCTGAGCCTTGGCGAGGTGATAAAAACACACAACGAGTTAGATAAAAATCATATCTAACTACAAATCATGTGTTATTCTTTTTACCTAATGTTTTATACACTGCAATCAATGTTTAACACTGTTTTTTATTAGATTTTACTTCATCACTATAACGCAAAACGCATTGTGACGTCACAATTTTGGGATACGAAAACGATATCAATATCAACGGGTAAGATGTTAAACATGGGAGAACATCGATCATTTTATATTTATGTGTAGATCACAGACACTTATAATACCAAACAGAAAAAGCTTCATCAAAAAAAATTTTTTCAAGCTTCATTGCAAGTTATGCCTGCCGTTTATATTGAGTGTCCTCTGGTCATTTGTACTTATTTTAACTGAATGAAAGGTTATGAATATTTTTTGTATTATGAAAGCAACTTAGTTTTCTTTATTGAATCAATGTTGTTTTTTTTCTTTGTCGTTATAGAGTAATATAGAGTCTAAAACATCTGTTTCATTTTTGGATATTTTACTTGAAAAGGCGTAAATGGTATTCTAATAGCCAGTTTTGGCCTTTATGAAAAGGCAAGAGAAAGAAAAATGAAGTGAAAGAAAGACAACTGCAAGAACTTTACACTTTATAACAACATTACAGCTATTTCCATCATCTTTTCATTAGGGACAGATGATACAATTTTTTTTCTTTAGAAGAGACTTAATACTGTATCATGTCACAAGTTTAGAAAAGTGGATAATTCTTAGAATTCTTAGAACTTTTGCTCTTAAGAACTGGAAAATGATTAAATAGACTTGGAAAATATTAGTAATATTTCAATAAAATAAAAAAAATATAGACAAATTATACTCAGTATAGGTTTAGAGGTGAAAAAAAAATTCAAATTATGTTATCTTGGTGCTAAAAGTGTAATATAAACGTTAGAAAAACATATCAAGCCATGTGAATTTTCTGAAGAAAAAAATGACAATTCAGCAATATCATATAGGCTAATTTTTACCATTAAGCTTTTCTTGCTAGTGACACGGTTAGTCTAGAATAGACCTTTTTTAACTTTTTATGCATAGTCTTGGGCCTAAAAACACTTTAAAAGACAAACCCCAGGCGCGGAATTCATAAAACTTCATAGAATATTGTTATGTTTAAAAATCACTTAATTTTTTATTTTTACTTAACTACCTGAACTGTCTGAAGTTTTCCTTAAATTTAGTGGTAATACTTCAGTGTAATTAAAAACATACATATTGCTTAAGTATGGACTTAAAGTTAAGTATCCTAAGGAGGTGTCTTAAGAAGGTAAGAAATTCTTTAGTTTTCTTCATCTGTGTAAAAACAATAGTAAACAGAAGAAAATTAAATCTTTTAATTAAAAATTATGATATACTATCTCAATAGAACTTTGACTTATTGACTTTGAGATATTTATCAACTGTTAAGATGTAAATGTGCAATGCTGATGACAAGCTTGTACATTTTAGTTATAATGTAATACTCATAGAACTAAATACCTCAATCACAAAAGAGTGCACTTTTTGTTCGTTGGTTTTTTTAATTGAGTAAGAATTTATTTATATTTAAGTGTGTATTTAAGTACAAATCTTAAGTATCTCTATCGAGTTCCAACTCAGGTGCACCAACAAAGGTCACGATAAATACCTATCACA